AATCCATAAAATTGATGAATTCCGACGCCAGGTGAAGGATCGGGGTTCCCTAAATACTTTGGAACTTTTAAAATTAGTGATTTAAGGTCCACATTAAAACTAAATTGAATTACGTCACCTGTAATAACGTTTTCAGCAGGACTACACTTAAGGTTTCGTCAAAGGTCAACATGTCTAGAAAATTATTTTTACAATAGCTCCAAAACTATGTGTGGTATAAAGTCAAAACGTTTATAATTTATAAATATATCATTGATTAATAGATAGAAAGTATCACTTGATAACAAATATTTTTTTTAAAAAAATATTTTTGAGAAAAATTGTATCAGAAAATGTGCATATTTAAAGAAAAATGCACCTGCTTAATTCTGTCTTTTTTGTGAAAACCATCATTGCAGAAATAATAAATGTTTATCATTGAAGGGCAAGTTGGACGTGAATGGTCTCTGCAAGGCTGTTTTTGAAAGCATGACATGTATTTATAAAGACAAGACCCCTATAGAATCTGCCATTTGCAATGTACTTTCTGACTTTCAAGTCTTAACATTTGGACAAAATAAACAGGGAAAACAACTTTCCAGAGGCTATCCAAGTCCAACTTGCCCTTCATTGATAAACATATTTTGTTTCTGCAATAATGGTTTTCACTGAGAGTGCTGAATTAACTAGGTGTATTTTTTGAAAATATCTGCATTTTTAAGAAGAATTTTTCTCAATTAATATTTTTTCAAAGTATTTTTTATCAAGTGATACTGTCTATCTGTTAATCAATGAAAAATTTATAAACTGTAAAAGTTTTAACTTTATACCTCACATAGTTTTGGAGCTATTGTAAAAATAAATTGTTGGGCATGTTGACCTTCGACGAAACCTTAACAAAACTTCTAAGTGTTCACTTTAATTACTTTATTTATTTATAAACTCCTATAAAGAATGGTATGATTTTTCAAATTTTTACAACAAATGAGTGTTCTCAACAATTGTCGAAAGAAAATCAAACATCACCAATGAAAACCAGTGTTCTGTGACGAAATGCCGTCCCACAATTTGTATTTTCTTGTGCCACGGCCAATCAAGTGGCCGATAAATAAGTATACATTCTTAATTGAGTTTTGTGTTATTTTCTCTGTATAAATAAATACATTTTAAATCTCTAGACGTTAGACCTACATGTACAGACATATTTTAAATGGAAATATGTCGGTTGTCTTTTTTATCTGCAATACTTTATTTATTTAGAATTATACCCGGTATTTCCTCTCATTATTACAATGCATTTATCGTTTTAATTGAAAATATTTAAAAGTTTCCATCATAAGAATGTTTTGGGTAGATATTCTGACGCAACTTTGATAATTAATGATTATTACATGTAATATTTCATGAAACACAATATATTTGTATACAGACTGAAATATATTCCTGGTTTCCTGGTTAGATACAAATATGATTTTACCTTCTTGAAAGACTCATTAATAAATCAATTGAATCCGATGAAAAGAGTTGTTGGAATTCAACCCATAACGCAAAAATAGGATATTTAAGGTAACTTAGCGTTCAATTTAGAGAACTGATCATATTGCATAGAAATTAATTTATTTTCAGATTAGAGCCTCACGAGAAACATAACACATAACAATAAATGCACATAAATATAAATAATTTAGAGATTGAAGCAAGTCACTGTTCAATTGTATAATGATAAAGCTGGATGATTGGATACACACAATTGATATCATGTTGCATAACAAACGTTTGGTAGAATCCATATTTATAAAGATAACATAGAGAAATAAGTAGAAAAATAATTATAAAGAAAAGAATTTTAATGAATACGTCATGTAAACGTACAATGGACAAAAAATCAAGAAGTAAAAAAGGAAAGTAAAGGATTCGCATTTATTTGGAGCAATATTCCAATGTTACATATTTGAGAGGATGAGACGTGGGTAAATGTTAAGGATAATTAAATATATATATAATAGTGACAGATTAAATCTTTAACATGATAAATTCCAACAAATGGTATTTTTGTTTTTTGTGTTCTTTTTCAATGTCCCTGAAAATATACCATTAATTTAAAACAAAAAATGAGGATAAATAAAAATTCTATCACTTAATTATTCATTGAACTGTATGATAAAACAGATATCATACATATACATTAAACTGCTTTCTCCAAAAGTAATGTCACAGTGTCCATATCTTTTATATTTGGCATCATATTATTGAATACAATACACCAAAATATGCACATATAAAAACTTTGAATATATTAATTTTGAAATTTTTGGTTTTATAATAAAGTCAATGGATTTCCATGATAAAAAATGTTTTAAATTTAAAGCCAACAAAAATTGTAAAATTAACCTGTTTCAAATTTCAACAAATGTATTTGATGATGTATGATTGACTTTAAACCGTACACAAAGAATAATCATAAAATAGTATTAAAGCTGTTTTTAATGTTGACGTAAAAAATTATCTGGTACTATATTTTGAAAAAAGTGAAAACGACAGCGTGCACGAAAGTCTTTACAATTATTTTAAAATATCAGTAATTGTAGTTATCCACGTTTGTTTTACATTCAAACAGATGTGACGTCTTAAACCCTCAAAACAAAATTTTGGCAGTCTTGATAAAAACAGCGAAGGTTAGCAAAGGTATGCAAGAGCACAAACCTGATTTATAAAATCTTCAATATAAAACAACTTCGGTTTATTTCGACTAGAAAGCAATTTTTTGTGCAAAAAAATGAAAAGTCAAGGATGAAAATATTACTGAATGTAATTAAAGAAGGGGTTTTCAGGATAAACAGAGAGTTAATGTTTTTTCACATAAAAGAACTGTAAGTTAATATGACGAGCATATAAATAGAAAATAATGACACGGTTATACTGGATTTAGGAGTGTAGCCAGTCACCAAAGTCAAGAAAACAGCAAATGACAATAGAACTGTGAGAGAAAACGATATTCGCTCGCCCGATTCTACTGGTAAAATAAAGACACCCAGATTGACAACTGCCAAAAATACGATTGGTGCGAAGATGTTCATCAAAAAGAACGAATGGCGTCTTTGCAGCCTAATTACTATTTGAAAGATTGGGGTTTTGAAGAAGATATGTTCACCATATACAAGAGTATCAATAAATACAAGCTCCCAAAGGGGGTTTTCTTCGTAAAATCCACCAATCACACGATTTGCGATAAAATGCACTTCATAAAACGTTAATGAAGGATTGATATCTATGTAACAATTTTGTATATATCGAAAGGGAAGTATCTAGAGTTTGGTGAACACATTGTTGAAGATTTGATACCGATAACATACCTCGCTTCCCCGTCATATCGATACACTACACTTTGGGCTTCGTCAGTCTCTATTACAAACGTATCGTAAGCTTTAGGGCTGTACAAAAGAGGTTTCCACACATAGAAATGGGAAAAGCGCGTGTAGGTAATATTTTGATAAGATGATGGGTCCCACCTTATGATGTCGTCTTTCCAAATCAGATCCAACAAAAAAGAAGTAGTCAAAATCCCTCTTGTTTCGTCGAAATTTATAACAGATGTAGGTATTAAGTTGATTTCAATCTTTACTTGTTCAGTTTGATTCCAAACAGGTTTAACATCTTTTCGGTAATTTTTCATCAGTTTTTCTTGAAGTGATCCATAAACATTGTAAAACATTTCCTCCCCAAATATTTGATGCCCCAGTAAGGGAAAGAGGAACACAGGTATCCTGATCAAATTCATTTTAAGGAACTAAATGGGGAAAAAAAATCTCATTGATACATATGTATCTGTTTATGTAAAGACGCATAATTGTTACAGACACAATTAATAAATTCAAATGTCAGTTATGTTTTGTTACGGTCAGATTTCAACATATATAAATGGTGGCTGCTGATGACTTAAGAATCAAGAAATACCGTTACTCATAAAAATATGAATTCCAAATGATGGAATTTTTTTTCTTCATCACACCTTAACTATTAATTATGCATTTTCCAATAAAGAGCACTTTATTTGATTGGTCTAAGCAGTACATTTTCTTGAGGGATATCTTATCTTAAAAGGGTGTCACTTTTCTTTGTCAGCTATTGTTATGGTATACGGAAATTGTATCAGTGGAAGGTCTAGGCAATCGTATAGGCAGCTTTGTTCCATCTGATCAACTAGGGATTTGTGTGCTAGTGCATTACAGATGAACTGAGACGATGTTATTTTTAAGAAGCAGAATTCTGAGGCGTTTTTCTCTCCGGTTAACATGAATATGCAACAATTTGATTTATCATTTTTATCCGATATCTATTTGACATACTTGCTAACAGAAACGTTAACCCTGTGCACTAAAATATCGCATTCAGTTCCTGGAATTATATATTCCATTACAATTGTCTTCGTATCCACAGAACAACACTACATGCCGCAGTAGGATGAACAAGTACACACATACCTTTTAGGCATGTGTGTTTGCCCAAATTGGAGATTTGCAGCTTCAGATCGTGACTTCCATATGTCACGGAATCGATCTTAAAAGCTGAAGCTGGAAATCTTCAATCTTGGCGCACATACATGCTTACACTTTGGCTCATCTCCTTCTCAAATGTTCAGTTTAAATTTGAAATCAGATGTGTTAGCCTAATGATGGAAATAATTGAAGATTTGGTTTGAAATAAATTGTTTAAAAATGCTATTTCCTTCTACTTAGTTAATTTTAAAATTCTGGAAAATTTAGTGAACATTCCTAACATACTGTTGACATTTACAGACTGTGATCGTTTTATTCACTACATTTAAGTTTGTTAAATCATCTTAAAACGTGACTTTTAAGGACGTTCTTATTTTTTTATTTTTTGCAATCATATTTAAGATTTCATTTTGTCCTTTAAGGAAGAAATAAATATATATTGTCATGTTTTTTCTGATTTGAACTTGTAACAAAACAAAGCTTTTGGTAATGTTATATGATTCGTATTCTTTAAACAGATGTACACACAACTCCTTTTTTAATTGATATTTTATTCAACTTTTTCTATATTTCATAAGGAGTTTTTTCATTTTCGTATCAAGTGTTTTCATTTCCATAGGATTAATTGCATTCGGTATGTCTAATAGATAAGAATGTTCCCGCAAAAGATACTCACAAAAGTCATAAAGTTTATTTTTCATTGCGAGTGTAAGAACCGAATTGTTCTGTTTCGTCAAGGCTTTAATCTCCAAACTATCCTTCATACCTATTAACATTTCAAATATTTCGATTTCATTGCCCTCATTGATTCCCTTCTCAGCAACGAAATGTAAAGTTGTCCATCCCCTTGCTGATCGTTGTAAGTTCATTGCAGGGAAGGTGTGTAAGAGATACCTACACATTTCTTTGCGACAATGTAAACAGGCCATGTGAAGAATGTTCATCGCTGTATTAGTATTTTTCGTCACCTCCGCTTTTATTGAAACAAGATATTTCATTATGTCGACATTGCCATTTCTAGCGGCAAAGTGACCTGCATGTCTACCTTTGTAATCAGCAATACGAAGCAAGGAGGGACAGACTTTTATGATAAATTTACAGGCAGATAAATGCCCATTGTCACAGGCAATATGTAATGCATTTCTATCGCTCTCTGATTTTTGTTCAAAACATACCTCCTGTTCGTGAAGAAAGTTCAAAATGTCAACATAACCGTGTTTGGCCGCGAATAGAATTGCATTCCATTTCTCGTGGCTTTCTGCAAAGATCATATTGCGATACTCTTTGGCAATAAACTGACACAATTCCAGTTTATCATGGATGCAAGCAATGTGGAATATATTATGACCGTGATCCGTAATTGCCTCTATGTCGAAATTGTTTGACTCGAACAACTTGAGTATATCTATGGACCCACTTTCCGCAGCATAATGACAAGCATTTTTCCCTTTCATGGATTTCTCGTTTAAAATTGATTTGAATTTTACATTTTCTACAATTATTTTACAAATATCGAGATGGCCATTTTGAGCAGCAATATATGCAAAACTGTCATTTGCTCGTTTGTTTTCTTATGAAAATCCAGGTTCTCGGAGATCAAGATTTTAAATATATCAGAATTTCCACCTTGAGCTGCAAAATGCAGTGTATTCCACCCATCTTGGTTTGACTTCTTCAATAAATGCTTTCTCTTTCCTATTTCATTCTTCATATAGAATTTAAAGTTGTCTGTATTTCCATTTAGACAAGCAGCTATGATTTTTTTCAAGGATGCCGACCCTTCATCGGTTTCTTCTTTACTATCTCTAAAATATTGCCTTGTGTCTGAAAAAAGTATAAAAGAAATGTTTGGAAAATCAACACAAATAAACCAAAGTTTTTAAAAATATGAATCTAAAATTGAAAATAATATTTGTTTTTTATAAAAAGGTCTGTTTTGTTAAATATACACTCTTTTCTTTAAATTCTTTTGTAAAACGGGCCCCTAATTGTTTAAAATAAATACAAATAAATATTAAATGCAAAGATTAACCCTAATCCTTTGGATATAGGTGCGAAACTTACACTTATCAGTCGAAAAATGTGTAACAACTATTAGCTAGATATCTTGGATGGGTGCAGGACTAACCCAAATCAGTCCAGTAGGACTAGCCATAAATTCTGAGTTCGAAGAAACATTTGTTTTCAATAACTAACCCTTATTCAGTCGAACGGTGTACACAGACTAACATTAATAGCTCTTTTGTGCGAAAACAATTAGCAAAATCAGTAAAATTGTATGCGAGACAAATACTAAATCAATGGATTTTGAATGCAGGACAACGTCATGACGTCGGACTAGTGTGACGTCATAAACGTTGATTGTTTCTTCGCACCATCGGACTTTGGCGTATCATACCATCGCACTTTAGCGCAACGTGTTCATAGGAAACGAGCCATCGGACTTTGACGTGACTATCGGACTTTGGCGTCCGTAAAGTCTTCGAGCCATTGAGGTTTGGCGCAAACCATCGGGGTTTGGCGAGTCCATCGCACATTGGCGTCACCATCGCACTTTGGAGTCTTACAAATATATTCTGAAGGTTCAGGAAAAAATTGAGCAAATGTAATATAGAATTGACATTTTTTAGTAATATTTAACATTTACATGTACATCATGTACCCCAATCTTTTTGTGTTCTTTTATGAATATTTAAGGATATACGATCCTCAGCCAGGAAGGATAACTCTTTACTTTATAATTTAAGGATGTACAACACACCTACCCCCAAAAATTCCTATCGTTTAATTTTCGTTATTTTTTGTATATTTAGTAAATGACTATATCTACTGCATGTATGCACATTTTGGACAAAATCGTTCGAGTGGTTTTTGGACAGGAACTTCCAAAAGTTACCCCCCTTTAGTTGTCTACGAGGAGAGAAAATTTTTAATCAATGAACTACTTAAACCTTGATTTTCAAAAAAGCCAGGTTAGATATAAATGTCAAATTTTATTAACTTATTCCTTTAACCATTTAACACAAAAACATTGTCATCTTTTTGATATACATATCATCTAAACAATTTTTAAAGACCTTAAACTGAAAAACTATGAATTACCTAAGCCTTGAAAACTGTGTATTTTTCAAATTCAAAATTTTTTTGTGAAAAAATCTGTCGTTTAATTTTGGTAAAAAACTTTCTTTAGGTAGCTGGTAGTAAAAATAATCTTCATAATTTTTTGTATAATTTTTGTACGACCAGTTTTGATTTAATAGCGAAAAATTACCCCCTCCCCCTTTCTCAATAAATCACGTTTCCGCGCGTCTTTCAGATGGGGGTCGATCACTTTGCTATGAATCTACAAATACACATTTTAAAAAAATCAAATTGGAATATTGCTTTTGCTTCAAAAATATATTAACAAACAAATTTATAAGTTCTCATATGTAAAGCCTATTTAAATGTAGATTTTTATGCAATTTTTTAATACCCCTACCACCCCACCCCTTCCTTTTTTGCGTCGCAGACCAATGTTAGCGTTTGACGAAACGTCGTTTACAGTGCAAATATACTAGTATTTCTTTATTTGAATCCCGGAGGTATGCATTAGTTTTTAAATTAATGAATGCAGAATAAATATTGACTACTGTTTTTATAACTATCAGGAAAAAATTACTGAAGGATTTTAGTTTTAAGTCCATATATATACGCGTTATGCATACCATATCACATGAAACCTAGATACGAATTCAAGTTATGTTGAACTTGAATATGTTGATTTTTAATTTTATTTCTTTAATTTTATTTATTAAAAAAATGGTGTATGTTCAATTCTCCTGTGATATAAATGGAATAATTGTAGTGTCTTTCATGCCATTATAATTTCAAACGAGACAGTATGTGGCCGTGGGGATACATCGACATTTGCATAGATGTACACCCCTCATGATATTGTACGCATTCTTTCAATGTCGTTGCTTCTAAAGCTAAAATGAAAATTCCGTATTCGTCCACATTAACTTAAAAAAATCAAACATTAAACTCTTCATCTATTTCAATTTATATCAAATCGCACATTGATATTTTTAAAAATCTTATAGGCTACGTTTTATTTTGATTCGAGGAAATGCGAACCGACATTGCATTGTTGGCAGTGACAGAAAGTCAAACGATTTGCTGCAATAGCCGATATTCATAAATGCAGATAATTTCCAATTCTTTTCAATTCTATACTTACATTGTGTATATGAGGTCTATAGTATTCAATTCTCGGTTTTATCAGGTCTTGCTGTAAATGTATTTCTGTGGAAAACCGTGAATAAAGGGAGGAAAATAAACATCTCCTACATTTTCAGAGTTGTTCCTCTTTGATCAGTAAGGGTCTGAGAGCAACATCGATTTTACATTGTAAAAAGTTTTTTGTTTGTTTATTGTTGTTTTATTTAATTAAAGAAGAAAAGCAATATCTATATCGTAAATGCACAAATTGTAATGAAGACCATTAATTAATCGGAATGTTATATAGCCATTTGTACATAATGAGAATTTCGGCAATGTAAAATATAATTTTCAGAAAAAAAATGCTGCGCTTTGATCAAGTTTACAATTTATTGTATATGTAATGAAATGAAATAAACATTAAGGGATGGTATTTTATGTCTATTACTTGCTTTTTACGGAGTTTAAACGGGTTAATTAAAAAATACTTATTGATTGATTATGGTACGCATAATCACAGCCAAGCCCCATATTCCATTTTTCTTTAATGATTGAAATACATCGGGATCGTTTTACTCCTCATTTTGACGCTTTATTTTTGACGTTAAATTTAACGTCACGACAAACGTTCAATTGAAATCGCAAGAGTTATCTCCCCCAGTGTGTTGTATGTCTTTAATTCAAAAAGTCTTAAAATAAAGCTTGAAATTGAAATTTTTTCATGCAACAATTTTCATTTTATGCCTCTACATATGATTCAATGTTCTTTAAAGTTTTAACAAATGGTACTAAAAATGTTTACATTTGTACCTTATAAAACTAAGTAAAACTTGCATATTTAAACAAAAATCAAATTTCTTTTAATTTAGCCTTAGTTACCTATATTTAGAAGCCTGACTTGAAATTAGAAGTGATTTACGGTGTTTTCTTTGAAAGGAAACACTTCATGCACTATGCATTATGAAACGATGGAGAAAGTAAAGTACCAAATAAGTGTAAAATTCATGCAATTTTCTTTAAAAGCCTGGATACCTATGATTTATATTCCGAAAACGTATTTCTTGATCAATTATCAATTTAAAAATATGCAGTAGGTAGTTCAAATCGCATTTCCTGAAAAATGATTTGAGATTTACTAATTTTTCCTGTATAATATGATTAAATTCAAAGATGAAGTTTAAAGAAATACCGTGGGTAAATATATTTTGATTTGAGAATTTAGAGACATCTTTGTGAGCATTTTCAATTACTCAATGCTTGACTTTCAGAACCTGAGGATCGGACAACCTTAAGATAACTTTGACCTCTCTGCATACTTTGACCTCTCTGCATAAATTCAGCAAAAGTTTAAGACTTTAAAATAATTTTAATAAAATTTTCAAGGCCAGAAAAATCACATTTCGTGAGTGCAGAAAGGTCAAATAAATGATTATGCGTAGCAATTTGAATCTTTTTCTTAGTCACAATTCTAAAGTGTCTTTTTTTTTTCAAAAAAGAAATATAATTTATTTTGTTCCATGCTTTATTTGGATAAAATATTGGAGGGAAAGCGTCGGAGATGTAATTATGTATATAGGTTTTGTCGCGTCCGTCCGTCTGTCTGTCTGTTTGTCTGTTTGTCCGCAAAAACTTTAACCTTGCCCATAACTTTTGACTGGACAGAGCTATGACTTTCATATTTCACATGTGTATTCCTTGTGACAATACCCTTCTTTGGGTACCACCAAAGTTGACCTTTTGACCTTGGAGTTTGACCAACTTTAACACAGAAATTCCAAACTTTTCTTTGGCCATATCTTTTGAACAGTAGATACCAGGACTTTTATACTTAATATTTGTATTCTTTGTGAAAAGACCTTTCATTGGATACCAACAACCTTGACCTTTTGATCTTTGATATTTCTGTACTTAGGAAAAAACTTTAACCTTGGCCATAACTTTTAAACAGTAAAGGCTGTGGCTTTTATACTTTACGTATGTAATCCTTGTGAGAAGGCCTTTCATTGGATACCATGAACTTTGACCCTTTGACATTGACCTTAGAATTTGACCTACTTTTAAAATACAACCTTGACCAAAACTTTTGAAGGGTTAGGACTAGGGCTTTCGTACTTCACATATATAATCCTTGTGACAAGACCTTTTATTTGATATAAAGAACCTTGACCCTTTGACCTAGACCTTGATGTTTGACCCACTTTTACACAAAAATTCCAAACTTTTACTTTGACCCTCATTTTTAAACAGTAGAATCTAGGAATTTTTGAAATATCATTTTTTTTGGCAATACCTTTCATTTGAAAGCAACAATTTTGAACTTTTGACCTTGACCTTGGAGATTTCCGTACTTACGAAAAAACCTTAACCTTGGTCAAAACCTTTGAACGGTAAGGGCTAGGCCTTTCATACTTCAAATATGCAATCCTTGTGAAAAGACCTTTCATTGGATATCAAGAACCTTGACCCTTTTACCTTGACCATGGAGTTTGACCTACTTTTTACAAACTTTAACTTTGGCAATAACTTTTCAACGGTAAGGGCCAGCGCTTTCATACTTCCCATATGTAATTTTTGAGACAAGGCCTTTCTTTAGAAACCAACAGCCTTGACCCTTTGACCTTATCCCAGAGTTTGTCCTACCTTTAAAAATGTTAACCTTTGTCATATTTCACATTTCTATTTCACATTTGTATTTCTTGTGAAAATGCCTTACTTTAGGTACCAACATATTTGATCTGCATTTGAGAAAGCTTAACCTTCGCTATGTTGCCATACGGGGGCATCAGTGTTTCACAAACATATCTTGTTTCTATATATTTTTATTTACAAAAGTAGCAACGATGTTCAATGTCTATATTTCAGCTTGTTAATAAATTTCGGCTATTCATACTTTTCTTGCGATGGTTTTAAATATCATGGCCGAGCATAATAAATTGTATATTAAATATTTTGTAAACACGATACTTTTTATATACGTTTTAACTTACCTAATTTTGCACTCTCCCTTTTTTTAACCTTGAAATAATAAAAATATACATAAAATTATTATGACTGTATACTTCTTAAATCAGTTTATAATTCACATTATTTTTATATCAATATAAAAAAGATTTGATTAAAAAAAACTGTTCAGAACATTACCTTACCATTTCGTAAATGCATATTAAATGTTTATGTGCCCAGATATTTTTGTACAAAGACAAACATTTACCCAGCAGATATTATTATCCACGTAATGTTTTTCATCAACACTGCATTTGTCGCAAACAAATCGTTCCAAAGGAAATGATTCTTGTTCAATAAAGGAATTATCTTTTTCGTTGAACAGTGAACCATTTTGGCATTTGTAGCCAACTTTGTATGAATACTTTTTGAACTCTTCTATCTTCTTTTCAATTGACTCTTGTACTTCTTTGAGTACGGTGGCGGAAGGATCGAAGGATCCTTTTGGTACACAGACTTGCACTTGAATCTGAAATTTGCATATACAGAGAACAACAATGTGTTTGTTCAAAAGATAACATGCAGCATCTTCATAAATACACCTTTGACTCTTTTTCTCTGTCAAAAATGTCCATCCTGGCAGTTTGAGGCATTTTAGAACAAGTCCATAGAAAAGAAAAATTGGCAATTGTCCTTGCTCGTCAAATTGAAAACACAAAATGGAGGATCTGCTGTGGTTTTTCAGCGAATCTGGTTTAAAATTTCTTTTGTTCATGCAGGGGAAATAGTACCATGTTCCCTCTCCTGACTCACTTGAACCTTCTGCGCTACATACTGCGAGCAAACACAGTTGTTCCATGAAAGATAAAATTTCTTTTTTGTGATCCGAGAAATCTTGACTACTTTTGTAGTGTTTTTTCCAAATTTGTTCTAGTTCCTTATCACTCAACTCCCCAGTGTCACAAAATCGCTTTCGATCTTTGTCCGTTGGTTCATGCATACTGACCGAATCTGTGATTATATACTTGAATGCGTTTACAAACCATTGTACATCAAGAATAATTGTATTTCGTACATTTTCTTCGTCTATGTACAATAAAGCACCAACTCTGTGTAAAAACAATAGCATTTCTGTAATTTCGTCCTCACTCATCCTAAACTCGGGCTGTAATGATCTTATATACATTGAAAGTCTATCCCTTGAAAGTATCTTTCTTTGTTTCTTTTCTTGTTCAACAATATTCTCAAAGATTGCCCATGCAGATCGCATGTTTAATTTCCAGTATTTTGATTTTTTGACAAGGCTAGCAATGCAATTTTTTATTTCATTAACATCTTCCAGTTTTGATTCATTTTCAGGAAATTTTATAGCAAATCTTCTATCCGCATGTAAATGTCTTCGAAGTTCATCTCTTTTATCAAATAGTTCAAAAAACTCTTCAAAAAATTGCTGACACTCCTACAAATACGAAAAAGAGACAATTAGCAACACAAATTGCATGAATTACCCAACCTAGATATTCTTTAGATTTATCTCTTCTTGTTTTCATGACACTGTATTTTATTTCTTTATTTTGGCTTCAAACTAGCCCTACGAGGGTAACATTGAATTGAACTTACATGTAAATCTACACAAGAGGGTTAGATCAACATGATTAATACAGTCTCGTTGCTCCTGAAATGTGGTACTTTTACTTTTCAAGTGAGTAAAATTAAAAACTAAATCTTCACCATCTTATTATGATTGAATATAAATACCATTTGCTTTGACCACACAGTTCTAGAAAAAAACATCTTGAAAGATTTTTTTCTATATATTTCACAAACATTGTAGACTCGCTTCCGCTCTTGAAACCAAATTTGACCATAATTGAATGTCAGATTTGCTGTATTTGTCAGTGAATACAATTTATCATTGAGTCAAATGCTGATTGACATTCTTCATACTAATTGTTAGTCCATTATTTATGCACTGAATTGACGATCGATTTTTCTGTTATTTCCCGATCATGACAAGGAGAACACGGCGGGTGTGACCGGTCGGCAGGGGATGCTCACTCCTCCATGGCATCTGATCCCACCTCTGATGTTTTGGGGGTCCGTGTTTCCTCTGCTCCTATTTTGTATTGTTTTATTGATTTTTGATCTTGAATACTGTTCATTATCTCCATGTTTTATTTTAATCATCGAACATGTTTCTCTGCTGGTGATGGTCTGTCCCCAAGGATACTTGTCGTTCGGTACCTATTCATTCATCAGTACACAGAATAACGAATTGATATCGATACTGACAGGCGCGTCGCCCACAATAAAAAGGCGTAACTCTTTTGAGTCTTTAAAGGACACAGCTAGTCTCAAGGAGTACATTCGGTTCCCCTCGGATAATCCTCAGGAATATTAAACATATGTACAGTCTTCAGATTCCCAGTTTTGGTATAAAACCAATAGCTCATATAAAAAATTGAAAGAATGTAAGATTTCTATTGCAGATATATTTTAAGATTCCTTTTCAGATCCCATGTCTTCTGTTTCAAAATGTTCTGTGAAAAACTGTAAAATCTGTGACATTTTGATAACTAACACTTCTTTCACCAGAAATTTCACTGGACAGAGCTTCTATACCAAAACTTTGGAAAATCTGAACTGCGAATCTTCTAAATGTTGTTTACGGCATAGAATGTTATATGTGTGGACTTGTTTATGCTTGTGAAACCAATTGATCACTTATCAGAAGTATATCAGGTCATCGATTTCAAATAAATCAAGGGGGTCAGCAGCTTTTTATACAAACATTCTAATTTACATGATCATTCTATTTTGTCAATGAAAGTTAGATTTCTTGAAAAGATTTATCAGCACACAAACAGTCCATCACTGAGTACACCTTTCCATAAACAACGAGAAAAGTGGATTAAAAAACTAGGGACAGCCTCTCCCTATTGATGTAATGACAATGACGAAAGTCTTGGAAATCTTTTCAATCCACAGTATTAGTGTAACAGTGTACATATGATGATCCTTTTTAACCACACACAGAGACATAAGCGTAGTTATGGGCATTTGTCTTATAATAAACCTTTAATACATGATGTCTCTTTTGATTCATTACCACCTTATGTAAATCAACAATTAAGTCTACATCATAGTCGAACCAAACTTTGTCCCTTTGAAACTTTGAAATAGTCTTCTTGAAAAGGTCGAGAAAAGTCCATCTTTTATTCATTGATGCGTTTAATTAAGTAATATTCTTAATCACAAAAGGGTCCAGTCTTGTATTCCACTATGTTTCAAGTTAAAGACTACACTTTGTATATCCTACAAGTATACATCGGCCATTGCTTCCAAACCTTTTAAATACAAAAAACTTTACATGGCCTGGATATCGAATATCCTAAACATAATCTCGCATTGTTTTTGTTCTCCTTCACACTATAACTATAGTCTTGCTGGACACGTTATTACAGGTGACGTAAATATAGTAATGTTTCAAGCTGTAATTGATGCCCTGGCATACCTAACACACTAGACCACGATTCCTTAATCAACCTCTTCTTAACGTGTTCGCTTCTATTTTTATACCCCCCGCTTGAAAAGCGGGAGGGTATATAGTGATCGGGATTTCCGTCCGTCTGTACGTCTGTCCGTCCGTCCGTCCGTACGTCCGTCCGTCCGTCTGTCTGTCCGTCCGTCCGTCTGTTACGCTTTGGGGTACCCATCTCTTATCCGCAACTCCTCTCATACCACTGAATGAAATTTGATGCAACTTTCACAGAATCTTTATTACATATTGCCATTGTGCACCTCCTATTTTACATTTTGATCCGACACATATTTTGGGTTTCCCGGCCACAGGGAAACATGGACTTTTTCACCAGTTATAACCATATGGGAGGCGGGGGGTATCATTTAGTGAGCTCATCGCTCACAGTACCTCTAGTTTGTTTATAAGTTATTCTTTCTTAGCGAACAATTGAATCACAAGCATTCGTAGATAAAGTAAAACATAGGTAATCAGAGATTACAGAGCTCACCTCAACGAATGTTGTCTTTAATTAAGGCAAAGTCACACAATTACCCAACAAAAAGTGTACATTCAAAAATGCAAAATTTATGCAATTTTCATCTGATACTTTGGAATATACCTATATGAAAACTTCAAACTAGTTCTTCATCATGAAAATGTGATCAAAATCCAGCATCTGAAGAAAGTTTAAGAGTTTCCATCCCTTGGTGCATCCTTTGGGCAAGTTTGGTTTATTTAAGCCTTATAGTTTTTTTTGGTGATAGACCTGCACCCATAACTTTTACCTGGTCCATTATCTGGAAAATGTACGTGAAATTCAGCATCCGGAGCAAGTCCATTAGTATGCATCCTAAGATGTATCATCCATGTGAGTTTGCACAACATAGGGCTAATAGTTACTCAGAAATAAAACCTGCATAAAAATTTAACCTCTTCACTCATCCAGAAAAAAAATTAGGTCAGATTCAGCATCCGAAGCAAGTCTGGTAGTATGCATCCTAAGATGTATCATCCATGCAAGTTTAGTTATTATAGGGCTCATTGTAACTTGGAAATGAAACCTGCCCCAAAAACTTTAACATGTTCACTCATCCGGAAAATGTAGGTCAAATTCAGCATCCGAAGCAAGTCTGGTAGTGTCCATCCTTAGATGTATCATCCATGCATGTTTGGTCAACATAGGGCTTATAGTTACTTCGAAATTAGACCTGCACCAAAAACATTAACCTGTTTACTCAACCGAAAAATGTAGCTCAGATTCAGCATCCGAAGCAAGTCTGATAGTGTACATTCTTAGATGTATCATCCATGCAAGTTTGGTCAACATGGGGCATACAGTTACTTGGAAATGTGACCTGCACAAAAAACATTAACCTGTTCACTCAACCGGAAAATGTAAGTCAGATTCAGCATCCGAACCATTTCTGGTAGTGTACATCCTAAGATGTATCATCCATGCAAGTTTGGTCAACATAGGGCTTATAGTTAGTTGGAAATGAGACCTGCACCAAAAACATTAACCTGTTCACTAAACCGGAAAATGTTGCTCAGATTCAGCATCCGAAGCAAGCCTGGTAATGTGCATCCTTAGATGTACCATCCATGCAAGTTTGGTCAACATAGGGCTTTTAGTTCCTTGGAAAGGAGACCAACACCAAAAACTGCACCAAAAATGTTAACCTGCTCCAAAAACATTAACCTGGTCATTTCTTTGCTGAAATTGCAGCATCTGAAACTTTGACTGGTACAATGAAACACATTAGAAGCATCTTCCATGCATGTCTAATCAATATAGGACATAAAAGTACTTAAAAAGAAAACTGTTTCAAAAAACTTAACATTAACCTGGGACGCCGACGCCGAGAGTATTACATTAGCTCCCCCAACTTCGTTGAGGTGAGATAAAAATGCATGGAAGTTTAAAATGAAAATTCTAAGTGGTTTTAGTAATACATAACTTAATAAACTTCTTATCAAAGGCGCTTGTCTCTACGTAACAAAATGTCTTTTTCAATATTCTCTGATTAAAGGTTTTTTTGTATCAGAACTCAATCTCATCAGCTTGCAAATATATTTCTTAATAGTAGATATAGAAAAGTGTTTGTAACAGCGCAACCTTACTTGTTTGGATTTATTTTCTGCATGACTGGCTACAACAATAACGGGGGTGTCTACATCACTGAAACTGTCTATGGACTTCAGCCAAAACTTGTAGTAATCTGTAGATAAAGACGAGTTTGTCATCGATGTATTCAAATGTATCAATGAAATATGACATTAAAATATACTTCATATCTGTATACCTTTGTAAGTCCAAGATGTGAATCTGCTACCACCACTTGCATCATTTTCATTTTTATCAGTGAACTTCTTTGTCATGTCTATAACTAGGATAAAAAACGTTTTGGGGCTTAGATAAACTTGATGAAAAGCATAATAGGCATTCTGTCCGGCAAAATCTAGAAATGTTATTCGAGGATTTCTTTTTTCTTTTCCGATCTGTATTACAGCATTCAGAATTTTCATCATTGCATCATTTTCAAGATCTTTTGTTTCTTCTTTCACGCCAACGTCACCTTTGGGAATATATTCTTTAACAGTAGTTTCTGTTTCCCATTCCACTGAGATACTTGATTTTCTTGAAATCGAAACATTTCCTTTAACTTCATCTCCTTCTTTGGGTATGGAATAATTATCACTATTTGCAGACTGTTCCAATAGAAGGGGATGGAGTTCAACATGTTCCGCTGATATGTGATTCTGGATTTCATTTTTATCATCTAACGAATCATCTTTGTCATCTTTTCCTCTTAATACATCTTCTTCCGAAAATATTATGTTTGGCATTTCGAATTCTTCTTTTGTGTTTATGCCTTTTAATCAAATAATATATATAAGTATGTTTAGTAACTTGGGGATATCTCGGAGAACTTTTGTGAACTTTGGGATAAAATGTTTGATGTCGATACAATCATTTGTGCAAAATACAAAACAGGAGCAGAGCAAAAACGGACAAGTAGCACACAGCGGATGTGACCATTCGGCAGAGGATGCTCACTCCTCTATGGCATCTCATCCCACCTCTGATGTTTGAGAGGTCCGTGCTTGTTTTGTTCCAAATTTGTACTGTTTTATGGATTTTTGATCTTGGTAACTGTTCGTTATCTTTATATGTTTTATTATTGAGACTTTCACAGAATGTTTGTTACATACAATTAGTGCCATTGGGCACGTCTTCCCTTTGTTATTGGACACATTTGACGAATTCCCATGGCGAAACATTGACCAGAATTCTGCCTATAATATCGAACGGAAGCTATATCTCTTATTCGCAACTCCTCCTTTACCAATGAATATGATACTTTCAAAGATTTTCTGTTACATAATGCCATTGTGCAGTTCTTACTTTACGTTTTGATTTTATATCTATTTCGAGTTTCCCAGAACAAAATATGCATTTACTTTGCCAGTTTAATCAAAAGTTTTATCACTTATTGAGCTTATGATCAGTCTTCACAGAACCTCTAGTTTTATACTGAATTTGTTTACTACATATAGTTCAGTCTACCTTATCAATACATAGGGTTAAGGCGAGTGTGACCAGTCAACGGGGATGCTTACTCCACCTATTCACCTGATCCCACCTTTGGAATTTCCAGGGGTCTGTGTTTTATGCATGCCTCTTCACTTATTAGTTTAATGAATTCGATCACTGTTTCTTATCTTTACCCTTTACAAATCATCAAGAACCAATTTAATTGGATAACGAAAACTGATAAGAATTAAAATATTTTGATAGATATTTGTATGTTTAGAAAAAAATTACAATTTTGTTATCTTGCCTTTAATGTAGTGCTAAAGGACACTTTCAAAATATGGACCAGTTTTCGAGATTTTATACACAATTACACAATTATACACTTGTGCTACCTATTAAACAAAGGAATTGACAAACTAAAAAAAAGGTGAAATGTTTTCGTTCTTACAAATAGCATGCCATTTCCATTCCTCTATTTAAACAATAGTGAAAAAGGATTTATTTTCTCTACAGCCTTCCTCTTTACAAAGAACTTTGTTTTACGTGGGACAAAGAAGGGGAACGGGGGAACGGGAGGGGGTATGTTGGAGACGAAATTACGAATTTTACTAATATCATATTACAAAATATTCGCGATTGAATTTGTATTAACTGTAAAAATTGTCCACATTACTAAACGCTAGTTTAGATTTCTTTGGACATATCAGAATAATTTCTTTGAGAAGATATCTCTCTTTAATGAGAAGGACACTTTAAAAACTTTTTGATTTAGATAAATCTTTAATCTTTTGTAGTTTAAAGTCGTAAATGCACTTTGCAAAAGGTTTTTTTTACCTCTGATTGTGTCTCCTAACATTTCAAAGCTGTTTACATGGACATCAACCCCATGCGTTTGTTCTACACTTTTAACTTCTCTAAATGGTTTGTCTTGGAGTCGTTTTAGCAGAGTAGTTTTACCGGCTTGAGCACAACCAACGATAATAAATCTTGCATGGTAAACCTGAACATTCTTCTTACTTAGAAAGTGCTTTAGTTCGTCAATGCGAATATTTGGATTTTCTAAAAAAAAAAAAAAGATATTAATAACATTTATTTAAACAGGAAAATATCACCGTAAAGGATTCTATAAATCGAAGTGCTGGAGTTATAATGGGTGGTAAAGTGGGTCATTAATTACATTTTCTGTTCTCAAAAATAATTTGTCAGAGCAAAGGTCTTACCTTTTTCTTTCTTGGTTTTTTTAAAATGCCTTAGTAACAGTAGGAGAACCACAAGTACAATGATTATCAAAACGATTACAACACAAACGGGTACTATTACGTGTATACGTGTATCGTCTCTGCTTGAAGAGTTCGTGTATCTACAATAAACAAAGTCATAAGAGAGGAAAAGAAACAGACATAACATTAATTTTGTGTTTCATCATCTACACTGATGAATTAAAAAATTGTTTCTTCTGGGGATTAAAAAAACCAATGGATATTTTTTTATATCAATTTTATCAATAAAATTTTCGGAAAATTCCCACACTAATAAATAAATCAACAATGCGGATTTGTTAAAAGAAAATTTTGGATAAAATGTTCAATGCAGAAATTGAATTTAACTAAATATCATATATTTCAATTTTTTTTTTAACATAAGATTATTTGAGAAAATTAAACACAGAATTTGTGATACATGTATTTTCAAAACATACGAATTCTTTATTCAGAATATCATTTAAGCTATAAAAGAAATCCCAGACAATAATATTTTAAAAAGAAACTAAAGTGCAATTGCGAAATTTTAGAAACTTTATATATATTTTAGATTTTGACCCATTCGATCGAAATTAATCCAAACAAATGTTGATAAGTATTAGACATTAGACTGCACCAATACTGAATTGTTTCAGTGTAATACTTTATTAAATGTGTTTAAACTTGCCACTCAAATTAAACAGATTTGACAGTGGTAAATAAGTAAATACGTAAACACACGTACATAAAAAGGCAATAAATGACTTTTGAATTAATTTTGATTGGAATCAGTTAAGTTTTAATCGGGATCAATCAAAATATCAAAATTTATAATTCCGCTATTTTATTTCAATTTTTTAAAATATATGAATATATATAACTGAAAAACATTCTCTCTCTGTTTGTGACTAGTTTTTATAAAATTTTATCCACAGAGAAAAATATTCACAAAAATGTGTTGAATTTCATATTAGGAGTTTTTATTAATATACACAGTTAAATCATAATGTCCATTCCTTCTTTCTAAAAGTCCTTTACAGGTAACAGCAAATTAAAAACCACATAGCATCTACTTTGGTTATATTTTTCCATTTTGTCAAACGCCAAAAATTCGTGTAAAATAATTGGGAGGTCAACATTACCGCTACATTGCCAAAAATTTCAACTCATTACCGCTACATTTTTTTCAGATTTTCGACCGATCATTCCGCTACTTTTTTCCGGCCAAAAACAACTCATTACGCTACATATTGAATCAGCCCAAAAACAACTCATTACCGCTACATATCGATTTAGCCAGGTATTGTTCGGTATACGAGTTCAAATCAACAGAATTCACTCACTTTCTAATCAGAATGAGTATATTTATATAAGTAACTCTGCAGTCGAAATTTAATCATTTAGCGTCATTTGAACAGTATAACCAAAATTGAGAAGTTTTTTACAAATCGAGGGAATGCCGGCTTACTTACATGATGGTTATAAATTTAGAAAACAACAATATGTCAAGCAAATGGCTTTCAAAGCTTTAGCGATAGTGTAAAAAAACATTTGAAAAAACTTAGAAAATTATCTGTTAAAAGTGCTTGATTTTAATTTTTTTTGTGTTTTATGAAATAAAATTGATTTTAATAATAAAAAGAATCCTGCTCAAAGGCTTCTTTCACCTCCCCATGGTGAGCATGGGAAACGAGTCTTATGGATTTATGGGTTGTACTGCATGTACACGCATATGTGGCTGGCTAACGAAAGAGGCAATGTAGCTGTTATGTATACTTTTTATGTAGCGGTAATGTAAGGTTTTTTGCAGCGGTAATGGCTATGTAGCGGTAATGTAAAGTTTGAAAATGTAGCGGTAATGATACGCACCCAAATAATTAAGGTCAGATGACATGTTCCGCAAATATGTTTTGTATTTCTTTGCATAATATGAAAAAAATATGCATAATTGGCATTCTCTTTTAATTTTTACATTGAATTCAATATGTTTTTGAATATAAATGCACTAAAAATTGTGATATAAAGATATTCTATAGAATACATGTACCCATAACTGATATGTAAAAAATATCAGCATGTGGTATCTTGTCCAAATGCCTGGTAATGTAACCTAGTTTTTTTGTGAGGAAACTTTTTAAAGTAATTATATTTCAATGACGAATTCTTGGGGGGGGGGGGGGGGGGGGAAATCATATATTTTTAAGGAGTGTGTTGTCTGACCTTAAGAGTTTATATCGGTTTGTAAGTGCATAAACTTTAGTTTTAAAGAGATGTCCTAAAGATCTTTTAGATACAATTCTGGTAAAATACATGTTTTCCTTTTAACAAACCTTGGAATTCGTGAACAGTTTCTATCAGCGGTGAAACAGCTACGTTTCTTGTCAATTTTTAGGCATTCTGGAACTAAAAAAAAATATGCAATTAATCACTGAGGATAGTATTTAGGGTTTCACACCTTAGAATAATAGAAAATCTTAGATTTATACTACAAGAAAGTGCATCAAGTTACATGTGGCTAGCAAAATAAAGCAGTTATTATATTATATTTTCAAATTTAGGACTGCATGTAATAATTTTTTATTTAATTGTTACAAGTAAGTTGAATAGTATATGATATATGTCAAATCTTACATTTATAAATTTCATTGTCGAAATAATGCGTACTTGGGCAACCCTCACTAAATCTTTCCGTACAATTATAATCATGGTTCAAATCGCCACTGCCTTCGAGTCTGACACAAAATCCTAAATTATTGAAAATCTTAATATGTATTATATTGCAATTCTGATTAAGACACACACACACTCACCCTCTCTCTCACACACCCTCACACACACTGATAAAAATAAAGAAGAGAACATCCATTCGCAATTGTCTATAAATAGATATAATAAATATATAAATACGAGGTTTGTCCCAGAAAAAAGTGAACATTTTCAATAGTTTTTGTTTCACACATATTATATTTTTAGCTAAAAATTGATATACATCATAATCGACATTTGTTACATAATTCAAAGAAATTTAATAAAATATCTTTATAAATAACATTTTTATTTTTGATAAACAATCATTCAAAGAAGCAGTCGACGCAAAACCAACGGTGTCAAAACGTCATTTGTGGAGTTTTTGAATGTATCCAGGAAACGTGCATCTTTAAAAAAAACGTTAGAAGCATTAATTTGATACTGAATTTGAGTTTCTTTTAGTTATGGATTATCCATTTCACAAATGCAATATTTAAAATTAATTAAGGAATTAATTTTTAAAGACAATTTTCCAATCAATATTAACTTAACAGCTTGCATAGTTAGCGGCTATCTCCACTTATGACGTCCATCTGTATATCTTATGACGTCCATCTGTATATCTTTTACTTGTCATTCTTGTAGGTCTACTTCTCTTATATATATATTTTGTCTTTCCCTGATCCCTAGCTCCTTTCCCATATGAACAGGTGTCATAACATGCTCAACACAACTTTAAGTGATAATTTACCAATATTTATACTAAAACTGTTTGTGCATTTAAAGCCATTTTTCCTTCTTTATAACGTCGAAGTATTTTTTCACACAAAAACTTTAAATCATACAGTTTCTAAGGATTTAATTAATTACTTTATTTTTCCGTATGGTCGGATTATTAAAACAAACATCACTGTAAATATTGAAAGTTAAGAATTTACCGTGCGCCGACCACCGATATTTAATACCCTGTAAATCAATGTCGTTTCGAAATGCATATAACATAACAATCTTATATTATTTCGCTAAAATGACGAAAATTTAATTTTCCAGCATTGTGGAAAAAAATGAATAATTTTAGTCTGTTAGATTATGAAATATTAAAAAGTTCGCATTTCTCTGGGACAACCCTCGTATTAAGAAAAAACTAGAAAACTTTTTGTAGTACTTTCCGAAATATGGGAGGATCTACGAAAATGTGATACAACAATAGCTGTTCACTGGAAAAAATATCACTCTCTGAGGATTAATTCATGTTATACAATGAAAGTTGTTAAACTTTTGAAATTCAAAACGATAATTTGCTATGGAAGATTATTTTTGAAATAAGTTATTCTTTTAAAGTCAACCTGGTCCATAGGGTTTTCTTGGCCTATCTGTACAAAATTCTATCAAAGAAGTCAACTTCCTGTCAGGGGTGCATAAATATCTTGTTCTGTTTGAACAGTTCATTCTTGTTGCGGCTGATTCGAAAGCTGACATATTCGCCGGACAGGCATCAACTGGATACACTTTGAAATCGTAAGACTCTATCTATATCAGATAAAATTCAAATATATTGTGTAAATATCTATCTGCGTACTTTTGTGATCTAATGAATCACTGATATTAAAATATCGTAAAAAGTCTTCTTTAGGTAAGGAGACCTTTATTCAAAATGAGGAAGGGTAGTTAATTACTTTGACAAGTATCAAACAGTAATAGAAAGTGCATACATAAAGAGATGATAGAAAATAAAATAGCAAAAAATCCTTAAAGCAATTTGAGCTGCATTTTTGAGAATTTTATTTGGCTGGTAAAATGTGTTATTCTGATTAATCTGTATGTAATCTAAACCCTTATAATCAATAAGGCTAAAATAAAGTTTTAAAATGTTTCAGAAGAATATTTCTGTGCAACCGAATATACAGTACAGGACAATAATTCAATTTTGCTTCAATCAAAGCTTATAAAAAGTTCTTCCATCGCAAATAATTATGAACAACAGAAGTTTATAAATGTTCTATTTTTCTGTCATTGAAATAGTTAATTACAAATTTACATTTTTTTTCGATGTCACACATGCAGCTCATATTGCTTTAACAAACTAAAGGGAGGGTCAATAAAATCACAAATGTATTTTCTGGGGGTATGGTAGGGGTAAAATATTCCATAAATAAAATTCTACATCTGAATAGCAATTATAGATTCTTTAAGAAATAAATCTGAAGCAATTTCTAAGACATACCGGATTTCCCATTGTACAAAGCAGAAAACAAAATTCGATTAAAAGAACTGCGATGAAGACAACTTCTTTGCAAATGAAAAAACACTTTTCTATTGGAAGCGTCTTCATAGCTCTTTCTGCAAAAAAAAAGTTAATATTTTTGTCAGTAAAACAAAAGATATGCTTAACGTCAGCTGAAAACGACCCAGTGACAGTTTTCTTTTTAATTACCCTAATTATAAGGAATTTTAGCAATGCTGATGAGATCGTTGAATCCCTCCAACATCAACCTTTTACTATCAATTATAGCTGCCTCATTTTAGGAATTAATCGTACATGTGCTTACCCATTGCATGCTCTTGAGTATCGAATAAGTTTTGAGGAGGTTACACAATATATAGGTGATATCATATTATTACTTTATAAATAAGGAAAGTTGGCGATGAAAAAGCTAAACTTATAATCATTTACATTGTACATATCGTCTATAGTACTAAAACATTCCAAACATATGACTTCAGTATCACAGTAACACAGAGTATATGTCATTTATCCAAACACCTTTACATGCATTGATGAAAATGACATTAGGTTTAACGTACCCATCTGTTTCATATATGAGGGCTTAATAAATCTGAAGATATAAACATCTTAAGATAATCTGTAAAAAAAAAAAAGGGAATTGTATGAACAAATAAATAATTTGTACAAACGAATTTAAAAGTTGTCCAAAAGTATTTTCTAATTCGTAAGTCAAAAATATTTTCTAATTCACAATTTACAACAGCTCTTAAACTAACATAACTGCCCAAAGTGAAGAAGTATTAATATACAAAGCGCAGAGAAAATCACTTTTATAAGGATATCCACTTCCGCTCCTATGCGACGTTGAACTCGTCCTACGCAATATGTCTCCTAGCATTACAGAAACAGAGGGTAAGACCGCTCGAGGCTATCAACGCAAGTCAAAAACTTGTTTTCAATGCCGATGGAATTCTCACAGCGCCGCCCTATACTACACCGTCATAGAGAATAGAAGTGAAATGCAGTTATTTTGACAGTAGTTTAATTAGAGGATCGTTACTAATACACGTTGTAATGAAATTAATTTTATTTATAAAACCGTGTAATGTATGGCTGCGCTGTGAGAATTCTATCGGCATCGAAAGCCGAAAGTTTTGACTGGCCTAGATAGCCAAGCCGTCTAGCGCACTGTTCCTGTACTGCTATCAATGGTGCATGGACACAAATTTGAAGTTAACATTTTCTGTATAATATTAACGACTTATATATTTTAATAGCATTTAACACACCAAATTTTGATGCATGGATTGATATATATTTTTTGAATGGAAATAACAAATTATCAATCCGTAAGATATAAGAAATCTTAAGTATTCTTTGCTGCTTAGATATGCGCCATTTGTCGTCTTTATGCTATTCTATACAAACTTTGCACACATTTTTAACATTGAGTCAGAATCTTACAAAATTCTGCCACTTTGTCTTGCAAACATTACTCACGTCACCTATCTGAATATTGATATATGAAAAATATTTCTAATTTCTAAAAAAAATATGTTCTTTATCCAAGTCACGGGTGTACCTAGGACTTAATGTGACTGCTTCGTGTCGCCCGATATTTATGTCGGCATATCATGTTCTTTCAGCCGACGAGACCAGAAAAATTTAGTCGCCTGACCATCGGCTTATAAATGTGACCTAGGCATTACAGAGAGACATTCCATAAGTCGAGAGTTCAACCCCGGACAGGGGCGGAAATGGGTATCTATATAAAAGTGATGAAATCAATAAAAGATACGACTGTGAAAAAGAGAGAGACAGTTTTAGGTATAACGAAGGAATAGATTCTGATACATTGTAGATTAATTAATCTACAAAGATTACTTTTATATAGAATACACCCTTACAACTTAGTTTAATTAAAATCTGAAACAATGAAAAATACCTTAAATGTCTCCACCTGTCTTAAATCATTTCTCTGTTCTATAATTCATACCATACTCCCATCGACATGATCGACAAAGTAGACATTACGCCAGGGTTAGTTTATACCATTTGAATTTTTTTTTACAGAAAAAAAACGCATCAATTACACTATGCCAGCAGTTTTTAACTAAAGTGTTCCGATAAAAAGACGTTATCTCAAGTTTTACGGAGCTTGTCACACCTTTAAAAAGATTTCACCCTGATTTAAATCCCCCCTAACTTGTTTTTGTCTCTGCACATATTTAACCTTGATTTTTTTAAATGTTGTCCGATTTTGTTATCACAGCCGTTCGATGATGTCTTTTTTGGACTGATTATTATTACATGTACTATTGGACGGCTACTGGTTATTTTTTAGACTGCACGAACAAACTTAAAGCATTGCTCCAAAGAACTATGTTTTTAAATTAAATTATATTTGTACAACAAGTTCCTAAAAATTGTCAAGGATACTTTTTTCAAGGTGAAACAAATCAAATACTTAGTGTAAGAAAAAAGCCTTAGAATTAAATTAAAATATATAGATCTGAAGACTTTTGCGCAAATTGAATCATGGATAATACCATGTATTTATACCATCGTCTTCAACCTTCCTAAAATAATCTATTTTCTTCAACAATGAGTCTACTCTGCTCTGTTTTTTGCAAATATCTAAACAAAATGTTTGTTGTAAATGAGCATTCATTGTAATGCCAAACAAATAAAACAAATATGTACAAAAGTTACAAATGACCATATTATAAGGATATTAATATACATAACGAAAAAATACAAATATGTCTAGAAGAATTTGCAAAAAAGATGGGAGAACAAACACCCAAGTTCTTAAAAGCTTGTGAAACACTCGAAAAAATAAGTACTATATTGTAACATTGTTAACATGTCAGATTAACAACTTCAATGTAAATGTATATTATATAAAAACAATATATATGTATATTATATATAATAAACAACAAAATAATTATGATGACATAAAATTATAACATTATTAACATATCAATCAAAAAACAAATAACATACAATAATTCCACTGTAAGTGTACATTATTTAATCGAATACAATTGAGTATATATTGAGTGGATGCAGGGGAGGTGGTGGGTCAAAAATTATATCCATCAGAAAGCATGGTCTGGATAAACAAGATCAAGTCACAAATATAAAATAGTAGCAAGAATTCATTGCGGCATTGAAAATTCCGGAAAAATTCTCTTATAACAATAGACTACCAGAGATGGTATAAATTACTTTATGTTGCACATAAATACAATTATACCATCGTCTTCAACCTTCCTCAAATAATCTATTTTGTTCAACAATGAGTCTACTCTGCTCTGTTTTTTGCAAATATCAAAGCAAAACGTTTGTTGTAAATGAGCATTTATTGTAATGCCAAACAAATTAAACAAATATGTACAACAAAAGTTACATATGACCATATCTGGATATATCCTTTATAAGGATATTAATATACATAACGAAAAATTACAAATATGACTAGAAGAATTTGCAAAAAAGATGGGAGAACAAACACGCCTTAAACTTGTCGATAACTAACAAGTTATAGACAAGTGCCCCATACAGAGGAGACGAATGGGAAACATCAACACCTCATAAGTAGGACAAACAGACTAACATATGGCTAAACCATCAGATGCCAAACTTTACTATTTATTTCCTGTAAACCTACCAATCTATGATGTTCTTTGGAGATCAAAGTCTTCCAACAATCTTTAAGAATTTTAATAGGTTCTAATTGTGCACAGTTATTTGCAGACCTAAACCTATTTTTGCATTCATATTCCCTTGAAATAGGCTACATATACAAATTGTGTCCCATTGGCAACAAATACTATCTAACATTAAGTTAAATTTTGAATTGTTTCAAATGACTTTTGAGATCAATTGTTGTTTCAATTATTTTACACTGAAAACAAAGACTAGTATTATGTACAATGGATTAAGATATATATACACATACCAATTTTAAACTAGTCTTAAATGCATATTAAACAAGGTTATGAATTATGTTGCCTCAGACCGTCATACTGATGTCGATTGTATTACACTTATAAACAAACATAGTGATATATACAGTGGGTTATCAAAATACAAAGGCAAATTTTCAACTGCATATAAAATCAACTATGCTACCTCAGACAGTCATACTTGTGTCAATTATTATACACTGAAAACATTGTAACATATATAATGGGCTTTAAGACACATATATATCAGATAGTCTTAATAATGACAGTTATTTTACACTGAAAACAAAACAAAGTAATATATACAATTGGTTTAAATACACATATAAATTTAAACTAGTCTTAAAAGCATATAAAACAAGGAGATCAACTATGCTGCCTCGGACAGTCATACTGATGCAGGTTGTACTTCACTCTACACAAAGTATTACAACAATGTCATTCCATACAATTGTTATGATGTAAATTGTGTTACCCATTGACTATGCTGCCTTAGACAGTCATACTGATGTACATGTAGATTGACCTACACTAGGAAATAGGGTATAATAAAAGATCACTAACTTTGTATATCACTAAAAAATGTAAATTGTTCCATTCTATAAAATACAATATAATCAAGTCACCAGAAATGCTGCCTCAGACAGTCATTCTGAGTAACATCAGCCTCAGATAATCACCGTAGTTACAAGTGGAGTTATATACTTCCACAAGTGCTTCCTAGGAAAGTCAAAGATTACATCTTACCAAAAAATGTTGTCGCAGACAGTCTTTTTCTAAAATGCGAGATATAACTGAACAAGAAACCACAAAAAGAAACACTATTCAGCTGCATCAGACAGTCTGTTATGAAAGAAAAGATTGAAATCAAAAGTACTACTTAAATTGACCTGTAAGACAGATTTGTTATTTTGTAATGAGTCACTAAAAAGCAATAATGAGGAATTGCTGCATCTTCTTGAAAACTGAAATTTATATTCCTTATTATTATTCAAAGTATTTCAGCAGTAATATATCATGCCATGTACCAGTTATAGCTAAAATGGATCAATCAGAAGAGAATTATATCCCTTCCTTTACTCTTTACTTTAAAATAATTGCCATTTTTGCATTACAATCTGCTTCATAGTCTTGCATTT